CGAGATGCACCTGTGGATGCACGACAAGGTCCGGTTAGCCCTGCCAACCATGACCTCGCATTGTCGGCCCATGTTCATCTTGGAGTCAATAATGACATCAAGATCCCTTTCTGCCACTGTGCTTTCAAGAAGGGAACTCCCCAGCCTGTATGCATGCTGTGGATTCCTTCTCCCCAGGTGCAGCACCCTGCATTTGTCTACATTGAACCCCATCTTATTCTCATCTGCCCACCTTTGTAGTCTGTCCAAATCTAGTTGCAGCCTCTCTCTCCCTTCAAGTATGCCCATCTCGCCCCACATCTTAGTGTCATCAGCAAACTTGGACAATGTGCTTTCCACCCCCTCGTCCAAGTCACCGATGAAGATGTTACACAGCGTGGACCCGAGGACCGAGCCCTGGGGTGCCCCACTGCTCACATCTCGCCAGGTTGAGTACAACCCATCCACCACTACTCTCTGGGTGGGTGTGCCCCATCAGCCAATTTTTTACCCATCCAACTGTGTAGGCATCAATGCCACAGTTGCCTAATTTATTGATGAGAATGGGGTGAGACACAGGGTCAGAGGCCTTCTTAAAGTCTAGAAAGACTACATCCATGATGACACCATCATCCAAGGATTTAGTTACTTGGTCACAAAAGGCAATCAGGTTGGTCAGGCAGGACCTGCCTTTGATGAACCCATGCTGGTTGCCCCTGAGCATGATCTCCCCTGCAGGCCCCGCACAGATGTGCTCCTGGATGATTCTCACCAAGATCTTCCCGAGCACCAAGGTGAGGCTTACAGGCCTATAGTTACTTGGGTCCTCCTTCCTCCCTTTCTTGAAAATTGGGACCACATTAGCTAGTTTCCAATCCTTCGCCACAGAACCATCCTTTCACAGAACCATTAGAGAGGGAGGGAGACAGACAAGGGTGTGGGGGAAAAAACAAAGAAATATAATCAAGACAAAAGGAAGGAATTGATTCAAATCCTTCCCCTATTATTTTCTTTCCAGAAGTTTCTTCCCTTGGTGGAAAATTGTCCCAAAATTGTTATTAAAGTATTTTTTGACAATACAAATCAACGTGCAAGGTTAGCAGCAATGAATTGCTCTGGAGCATGAATTAGTCAGCTAACAGTGGTTGCAGGTGCTAGGCTCTGTGCTGAACAGCAGAGCCAAGGCCTGCATGTGCATATACCCAATTGCTAAACAGGCAGTCCTCGGACTTATGACACAATTAGCTCCTGAAAACCGTATCTTAAGTCAAAACATTGCAACTCAGAACCATTTTCCCAAAGGAAATGTTATAAATGGGGGACTGGATCCTGAACCAAGGCCCGATACCCTATTTTCACCAAAAATAACCCAGAATTTTATACTCAATCAATTCTAGATGAGTTATATAGTTATGTTAATGTTTTTATATTGTAAATAGCCATCATATTGATTTGGAAGGACTTTGAGGTGACTTTGCTGGACTTTTTGAAGGGTTCTTGGCTGGAGTCTTTTCAGGAGTCTTGGCTACAGGTTTTTCTGGATTTTTGGCTGCTTTCTTAAAGAAAGTGTCCAAGGAAGTTTGGACAGATGTTCTCCAGGGAGCTGGGCAACGCAGCGAACTTGTTTACTGGCGTGGCATTGGATCAAGTGTCGTAAAGTCAAAACAGGGTGTTAATTTATAAACATTGTAAGTGCCATTCGTTGTAACTGAAAAAGTTGTAAGTCGAGGACTGCCTGTATTGGCACTGCTACCAGCCTCCTAAACCCTCTTTTCCTATTTCCAAAGGAAAGCTGCTTCTTACCTCTCTCTGCAGGCACTCCATTAACTCTCTATATTCCTTCTGTTCCTTCAGCCGCTTGTCTTTCTCTCTATGGGCCAGAACACGGCGGAAAGCACACTGCAAAGTCAGCGCAGCCTTTTCTTTGCAGCTTAAGTCTGTGTGATGCAAAGAGAATGAAATAACATGGACTGCAACCCAGCATAGGCGCGAGATGGCACAGTGGCACACAGAGATCATGGTAACCCCTGGTTGAAGGAACAACTGCAGCTTACTAGGTTTAAAGATAATTAATCCTTGTAACACGCCTAGATTCCAGGATTCATGGTGGCGCCTGCTGGTGGCTGTCTAGTGCCTGCTGCCCTTGGGACTCATGGTCACTCCTCTCTTTGCTCTCACCTGCCACCCCTTGCTGGTCCTGTTTCACTGGGGAACAGGAGGCTACCCAGTCTCCCAGATGGTCACTGTCTCACCGCCAATCAATGCACTGGCAACACAGGACCTTAGGGGTCCATTGCATGGCTCCAACCTCCCCTCAAACTACATCCATGCGTCTCAGGTGTTGCAGATTAATGTCCTGTGTGCCCTTGGCCCACAGTCTCCCTCTCTATCTGTTAATCAGTCAGCTCATCTAGCAGACCCATGGTTCCAGTCCTATATCCAGCCATTATCTGGATCCCGTGCCTTTAAGAGCCCCTGAATTCTCAGCCCATCTGCTTCAGCCTCCTGCAGCAAACCTGGCTGCTTGGGCTTGATTCAGAGAGTAGGCTTCTTCTGCTTTAACCCAGGCATGCTCCCCAAGGCTCTTCAATACCCCCAGCCCCCCAAGTACCCCAAATGGGGACCTCCTCCCACCACTTAGTCCCAATGACCTGTCCTCCAGAATTAACTCCAATGAAAAGCATATGTCCTGCAGCTACAACATAAACTCTCAGCCTATCGGCTGCCTGCCATGCCTCTCCTTGCCTGGAGTCCTATTTTCTGCTGGCAAGGCTTCAGCATCTCCCAGGCCTTCCAGCTTGCCCACAGCCAGGCTCCCCTTGCCATTAGTTCCATGGCAGTGCTCCTTCTGCTTCAGCCTCCGGGGCCAGACTGAGTGCTTGGCTCAGGCCCTGGCTTATATCTCATCCCAGCCCTGCCCCCTTCCAGTTTGGCTAGTCCTGGCCCTGTGGGTCACCCTGGCAATTTGTACCTGTGACTGCACAAGACCCCATATTGTCCATAGGGTTGCCAACCCTCCAGGATTGCCCTGGAGTCTCCAGGAATTAGATCTAAATCTCCAGGAAACTGCTGAAAGTCACCCAGGAGATAAGTGATCAGGTATTCATTAAAATAAACATTAAATGTTGAATCCGATTTATACCGTAGTCCAGTGGGGTTTTTTTTAATATAATAGTGATGTGCATTTGCCTTCCTAATGTAAAGTCATTAATGCCATTATGTCATGTAATGAAACCTCCCGGAAGAGATTTAGAGTTGGCAGCCCTAATTGTCCATACCAGGGCTCAGCCCTGTTGCTCTTCTGCAGAATAAGTAGTTCTGCCCTAGGCCCTCCTAGCCAGGGCTTCCCTGTATTTACTTCCTACCCCAGCATAACAAGGCAGTCCTGTCCCTGTTACAATCAGTCAGAAAAAAAAAGTCCAGGGAATCATAGATAGCTCTGACAACATCTCTTCAACATACGTAGTGGTCAAAGTGTGGAACAGATCATTATTGTCATTGTTGCTATTCACGACACTGTTCTGGTGTTAAATGACAGGAAAGATCTTTTTCAGCCACAATTTCTATCAAATTCCATCAGCCCAGAAGGAATCCTGTTTCATTTTACTTCCTTGTACTCCCTGGGATAAGCTACCTGTCATCCCGAGAAAGAGGAACTACAGTATCCAAGAAAGAACTGAGGCTGATACTGTTTCTAATAACAAGGGGAGGAAACAGTGGGCCCATTAGTTTGTGTTGTTCGTATTATATAATCATGGGGGCCCCTCTGGACTTCAAAATGATGAATCTATGGAAACTTGTGTAATCTAATGCAAGTTATTTCAGGTTTTACAGGACTGAAAAAAAAGCATTTTTCTTATAAAGTTTCTGGGTTTCTTTCTGCTTCATGGTATTACAATCTACACCAGTAGCTCACACATGTTAAACTGTCCTATGACAACTAGATTTTAAGTTATTTAATACAGTAGACTGTAAACTTGTTACAGCCCCTCAGACTAGTGCAGTCAATGCAGTTTCTATAGCAAGGGAGTGTAGGAGAAATTATTCACTTAAGCTCCCAACCTGAAAAGGGAACACTTGCGAATACTCCTGACCCCAACGGGGCTCGTTTCCCAGCTGAGACTCAAATAAGCAGGAGACGAGGGTGTGGTCTTTCCAGTTTATTCGGCCGAAGGTCCCCCCACCTCAGAAAGGCAGAGGGGCCCCGGTTGCACTCTTACACACACATTTATATTCTCTGGTTACATGATATTTTCGTATGCGCAAAGCTTTAGCGGAAAATGACTAGTACTGCGTAACTCTTCTTTTACCTGTAGCGTAAGCTCCAATCAAAATAAAGTTTTAAAAAGTTTTACCAAATAAGGCACAGGTCTGCCGTTAAGCTTGTCTATCATGCTTAGTTACTATGGGGGAAGTTGTGGGCCCCTGAAGGTACAGGCTATGCTTCCCATATTGCTAAAGGAAACCCCTTTCTCTTCGCACAATTTCTAACAGAAGTGAGACTGTCAGCATAGCAACTGGCTGCTTTGGACTCCCTAGCCAGAATACCCAGGTGCCCATTTACAGCCGGGTTGACAGGGACAGATTTTAACACAAGTCCGGAATAAGGTTCAGACTCACACCTTGGGAGCGTAGCAAGACAGCTGAACCACTCAGCCTCCCCCCGCCCGGGGATGGATCCAGAGGGGTGCTTTCAGACCCCGCAAGAATAATGTCTCCATCCCTCCTGTACCATCCCCTTGCACCCATCCTGTTAGCATGGGATTAGTTTGAATAAATAAGAGACATGCAGGATGGAGGAAAGCGACCAAGCATGCATGCATAGCAAACAGTGAAATGGGTGCGAACTAAACTTGCTACTGAGCCTTGTGCTCTCTAGTTGTCCCTGTAATCCCAAGGCTCAGCAGGTCATGCTAAGCTAGGTAAGCAATCTAAATGGCCCCTGGCTGTCTCCCCAGCCTGCCCCACCCATCCTGGGTATGCAACCTCCTGAGTCTGCTACTCATGCCCTTCCTGTGTATCATCGCTCCAAGCCTCTCCCAGCATAACAGTGGATCTGAACTTTGACCTCTGAAGTCAAAACTCCTCCATGGTGGGAATTCCCAAGCAGTGGGCTCCAACTGCACAAGCCTGGTGGATATTCTCATGTCCCTGTAATTCTTGCTCTGCACAACAGCTGTCAGTGATGCAGCAATAGTGATTTTCACAGCCTCTGTTGCTGGGAATCTGTGCAAACCCAGCACAAATGTGTGGTCTATCACAAGCTTGCATTCCTTTCTCACACAAGCTTTTTGCAGCTCTCTGCATAGGCAGGCAGGGACAGGCAAACATGCCCCTGGCCATTTCCCAGGCAAGAAACAGCATCTACTGAAGTTAAACATTTTTATATCTATGGCTTGCAGTTAAGATTTTTAGGAGTTTTTTGGTGTATGCTAAGGACCTTTCTCTGACAGAAATTAATATATATGCCACTGGGAGAGTAGGCCAGGTTCCAGCCACACACCTTTCTAGATTCTTGCCTATATGGCTCCTACCTGAGCAACTCACAAACATTACTGAGTTTATCCTCACACCACATCAGTGAGGCTGGGCAGTCACATTTGATGTGCTTTACATAGGTAGGGAACTAACATGCAAGAAGATTATCCTAACTTGCCCAAGGTCTGACAGGGAACCTGTGACACTGCAACAAACTTTGCAACAGCTTGTGACCAGAGAAACACAGGCTCCTACATCCCCTTCCACTGTGAGACCCTAGGAACTCCCCCTTCCCTCTCACCTGGCATCATATAGCACCTCCGTGCTGGAAAAGACTGGTCTGAACAGTTGTGAGGTCTCACACAGCCAGCAGTTAAAACATCATGACAAGTTCTCTCAGGCATATCAGAACAGGACAATACCAATGAGAGATGGAAAATTCCTGTAAGATGCCAGCCAAGGCATTCTTTCTTTCTCAATGTTTTTCTAGCACTTTATCTGGTTTAGTTTCAAAAGTGCCCAAATATAATGATCCGCCTGCAATGTGGTGAGGAATCTATTGCATCAGGACTCCCAAGTTAACCCTGCTCTGATTCAACACCTTCAACAATATTTTTTTTAAAAATCCCCCATGATGATAAACTGGAAGCTACAAACACCCAATAAAAACAAACTCATGTAAAAGGACCTGAAGTGGATAAAAACACGTAAGTAAATGACTTGAGACTCATTTGGAAAACACTTACTTTCTCTATTCCATCCTAACAGCCAACTGAGCTTCAGCCTGAACAATTAAGGGAAGTAAGTGCCTAGAGGATAGAGGTCTGAGCTAACCCAGCCTGTTTAGAATTGGTGGCTCCAGGAACAGTACATCTTTCACACCTGCTGTTTAGCTCCTTCAGCAATCGCCTTTTGCAGGGCCTGACCTGACATCTCCACTGCTCCTGGGGGAGGCTGTGTCATTCTATATCAGGTCCTGTCTATATATGTTTGTGTCAAACAGTCTATCAGGATAATCCCTTCAACACACATATTCTGAATATTTCCCACGCCCTGGGCTTCTAAAACAGGGGCAGGCAATTATTTGGGCCCATGGACCACATAGGCAGTTCTGGAGAATTGTTGCAGGCCCGTCAGCACCCCACGCCCCCTGGTAGCAGTCTGGAGCTGGCACACCCTGCAGCTCCTCCCCACCACTGCCACCAGCACCCAGCAGCAGCTGAGTACACCTGCCCAGACCGCAGCAGATGAACTCAAGACCAGCCGGGAGCCCTAATCCTGGCCCACCCCGCATCTGTTCCAGACCAGCCCGCCCATGACGAGCAGCAGCAGTGGCCTAGCAGAAGCTGCTACTTGTCATGGAGGAAAAGCAGCCACCTCCCCCTCACCACTGCCAGGCCCTTCTTGGTACAACTGCCTGGAGCATGTACCCAGGCTGCCCTGTGGCTCCTCTCCACTG